ATCCTTGAACGTTAGCTTCAATGCCCCTTGTTCTTTTTGGAACCCATACTTGCCTAATTTTAAAATGTTTTCCTTTCTTTAAAGGACGAGTATGTTCCAAATGACCATAAAAATGACAATGTGAGCATTTTGCCATTTTTAAACATAATAGGTTATTTTTAGAAATTAATTCTTTTTCTTTTGTTAAGCCTTCAAGCTTAACTCCTAACTCAAAATTTTCTTTTTCTAAGTCATTTATTTTGTTTTTTGAAAGCTCTAAATTATTTTTCAAAATTTCATTTTGATTTTCAAAATCAACTTTTGCTTTCAAAATCAAATTATCTTTAATTTTGAGTTTTGAAATTAATTTCTTATATTTTAAATTCATGGTCTCAAATCCCAAATACAACCTATTATAAGCATCTTGTAACTCATCAAAAGTAAATGAATTAAATTCATTTGAGTTAGAAGATACCTCGAATTCTTCTTGAGTGGTCATGAGGAATAGGTTGACTACTTCATCTTCATCATTAGAATCATCTTCATCACTCCAAGATGCAACAAATGCCTTCTTCCCCTTTTTCTTTAGAAGAGGACATTCATACTTGACATGCCCCTTTCTTTGACAATTGAAACATATCGGGGGACTCTTCTTCTTGGTTGATTCATATTTCACTTCCTTGGAAATCATGAATCTCTTGAGTTCCTTCAATAGCTTGACCATCTCTTCTTCTTGTTCATCATCGTCTTCATCCACCTCATCACTTGAATCTTGATAGCTTTCATTGGTGGATTTGAAGGCAATGCCTACCTCCTTCTTCTTCTTGTTTTTCTTATTTTTCTTCTCTTCCCTTTCTTCATCATCCTTCACCATCATCTCATGAGTGAGAAGGGAACCAATTAGCTCGTCGAGAGTGAGAGACTTTAGGTTTCTTGCTTCGATAATGGCCGTCTTCTTTGATTGCCACTCCTTTGGAAGAGAATATATCATCTTCCTCACAAGCTTCTCATTTGGGATTACTTCTCCATATCCCTTGAGACCATTGACAATCACGGTAAATCTATCCGTCATAGCTTTGATGTCTTCATTGGGTTTCATCTTGAAGTTCTCGTAGCTATGGTTGAGAAGACTTTTCTTTAATTCCCTCACTTCGTCGGTTCCTTCATGAGTGACTTGGAGCTTATCCCAAATCTCTTTGGCACTGGAACAAGATGAGACTCTTCCATATTCATTTGGGCCTAAAGCACAAAATAGAATATGTATAGCCTTAGAATTAAGCTGAAAATTTTTCTGCTCTTCTCTACTCCAATCGTTGTACTTGCCGGGTGGAGAGGAGTAATCGTCCATGATTGAGTACCAAGCTCCTAGATTGTAGGATTCAATAAAGTACATCATCTTGTTCTTCCAATGTGCATAATTTGATCCATTGAAGAAGGGTGGCTTGTTGACCGGTTGTGAATCCATAATAGGATATTCTTCAAGATAATAAGCACCGGAGGAAAAAGTCATTTCTTTGTCGGTTGCATCGGGAATTGGTAGAGCTTCTTCGAGGATCGTCTCAAAGTGGTTAAACCTTCTTAACGAGTTAGGCTCTGATGCCAATTGTTAGGATTTTCGGAAGCTCGAATCGACAACCGGAATGGTTTGCAAAGAGGGGTCGGAATGGTTTTAAGTTTAGGGAGTAAGGAGATTGAAAGATAGAAAATTGCACAGCGATTTAGAGTGGTTCGAATTTATCAACCAAAGTCTACATATACTACCTTAGCTCCTCACCAAGGATTTTCCAACAAATTCACTAATTTGTTCTTTCTTTTGAGGACAAAGAGATAACCTTACAACTCCCTAGTTTTTCCGGGCTAAACTAGAACCTTTCCCTAGCTTTTACACGGGCTAAGCTAGAACCTTTCCCCTTTACAAAAGGATAAGAAATGTAAACAAGAAAACCTCTCTAAGGTAGGTGTTTACAAGAATTAAGCTCACAAGAACAAAATATTTACAAGAGAAAGATGAAATAAGAATGAAAAACTCTTTTCTTGTGTTTGATTGCTTGGATGGTTGTTCTCTTACTTCTTCAAGTATCTTTAGCTTGTATTTATAGCTTGGAATGTGTTCGATGTCGTATATAACCGTTGGGGATGTTTTGGAGTCGTTTGGGGATGATTTTTCTACTCAAAAAGGCTGCCCATAACATGATGCATCGATGCATGATCAAGGTGCATCGATACCCCTTCATTAAATTCAAATAAACTAGCCGTTGCAGCCTTGATGCATGGCAGGATGCATCGATGCATGCCAAGGATGCATCGATGCATAGCAAGATGCATCGATGCACTAATTGCATTCGATGTTTGGATGCATGGATGCATTGCATGATGCATGGATGCATTGCATGATGCATCGATGCATTAGTGCAGATGCATGGATGCATTGCAGGGATGCATGGATGCACTGCAGGGATGCATGGATGCACTTTGACACCCTTTACCATTTTTGCTCAAATCCGATTTTAATGGACTTTGAATTATTTTTGAAACCTTTTAAAACTTTGAATAAATTCAATTAAGTCCAAAAACATTTTGTAAATTCAATTCAAGTCCAAAAACCATTTTGCCTTAAATTGTTATATCAAAACATAGTTCAACAGGTTCCTTTGACTAGAGATAGTGGGAGCACTTTCAACAAACTTCGTCGAGCAAGTGAAGCTTAGATAGATTAAATATGCTAAAGAGATAAGTTTTATCATCCTTAAATCATTTTCCATCACTCAATCCTGAAGTAGTTTCCCATGTGAGGATTATCAAGTTATTTCATTTATTTGCTATCTTTACCATTTTCCTTTGCCATGACATTTCATTTGTGAATCCATTAGATATACTTAATTACTTTAGAGTAGTGCATAAACTTTACTCAAGATCCTTCTAATCCCTGTGGAGACGATACTCACTCATCACTGTATTATTTGTTCGATTGTGTATACTTACACATTAATTGCATATAATTTTATAGTACTCACAACACGCAACAATTATATTATTTGAATTTAAATTATAAAAAATAAAATTTTCTAAATCACTCGAATCCCTTTAGGACTTCTAATGTATATCGTAACATCGTTAAAAATAAAATATTTTATCAATAGTTTTATTTTAAAAAATAATTAAGTTTAACTAAAACAATAAAAAATCAAATTGACAGAAAATTCAAGCATTGAGAGTAAAATTTGTCTCCATGCCTTAAGTTATGAACAAAATAATTTATTGTTAAATAATATGTTACATATTTTAATTTAATCAAATTTTAAATTAGTTCTCTATCTTAAATTATCAAGCTAAACATCACATCTTATAAAAACTAAAAAAGTTTATCTTATCATTAATAAACACTAGAACGGTTAATGTTTTCTAATTTATTAATTGTTAATTTATATATATATTTTTTTTTTTGTTAATTTCAGGTATATAAAGTATGAAATTGTGTATATAAATCAAATTTTAATAAATTAAGATGAAATTAATAATTAGACTTGAGGTACTTAAAAACACATTAGAATATCCGTATTTGTTATTGAAAATAGTTTTCTTAGAACATCCAAAATTGTTTAAATTCACGCACACATGCTTGAATCCAAGTCTTATAAAGATAATAAAAAAATTCTATAGTAAAGATCACTCATTAATTTAAAAGCTAAAAATGTGGATCAAGCACAAATCATTGAATTCAAGAATTTAAGCTTGTACGACCAAATTCAAATCTCACCACCGTCACTCTTAGTAAGTAATCTATAAAGTCTTATGTAAATCTCAATTGAATCTCAAGTATACTCTGACTCTGGATTGAGAGAATCACCTCAGACCTAAACTTTTTTGTACCAAAAAAAATTAAAAGCTAAAAATTCTCAAAGGAATCTGGGGGCTGCCATTAGTATATGGTATTGAATTACTTAAAACGACTTTAGATCATAGAACTAAATAACTTTTTTTTTTAAAAAAAAGGAATAAGTAGAGTAATAATCTTCTACATCCTTCAGCTATTTTCTCAACACTCACTATCGACATCTTTTTTAAATTTCTTACCCTCTTTTTAAACCTCAAACATTTCTTCTGGAATCGTCAGTTGTCTTACGTGGTCTATAACTAATCTCAATAGTAAGCCAAATCCAAATGTCCTAATCTAGAGAAGAATCAAACCACGTGTTTTCAAATGAAAATTTGCAAAGCCCACCACCATGCATTTCAAGCACTGCAAAACTGACACGTTTCAGCACAGGACCACCAGTTACATGTTTCAAAACCATCGAAATTCTTGCAACACTAAAGTGCGTAATCCCATGTTTCAATCTAACTTAACAACCGAATCCTGGCGTGGCTCGTGTCGAACTTGGGAGCCAAGCCGAAATAAAAGGACAGCATAACCAACCTGTTCATGATACTAGCCAGTGGCCACAGCCCACGTGCTCCCATGTTTTACTTTGTAGGCCAAGTCATTAACGTGAAAATAAACCAACAGAACCACGTCATCATACCCATAAAACAAGATAAAATTCCATTCGGCTTTGTTGCAATATTCACACAAGTAGTTCCAGCTGGCTGCATTAAAAACATAGCAATATGAGATTTTTAAGCTTTCTACACCTATATGTTTTTCATGCTCCAAGATAAAACCTAGGGGATTCTCTAAGCTGATTGATTGTTTACCCTATCATGCAGTCAGAATTATTAAGCCTAAACAGAAAACAATTTCTTAAGTGAAACCAATATCCATTCATAAACTTAATTATCTCAAGGTTTAAATGGTATTAATTAATGAATTAACCAACTCTATCATGTGCATACCACTAGAATCCTAGATACTATGTTATTTATTAGCAGAGCTTGAGCTCTGGGCTCTGGCCAATGAAGTGTCAACAAAGAGTTTCAACCATTTGCTCCATTGGGTGGACTTTGACACCCTTCTTTATATGGCAGTTCGGTATCAACTATAATCAATCTGCAGTCTCATTTGACTTAGATGGCAGGTTAACAATGAATAGGAGTCTAAGAGGACTTACCAGTTACCATGGGATGTGCCTTCAACTTTCAATCAGTGGCGGGCCTTTCCAAAGAAGTGCTCAATTTGCAAACATCCTTGAGACTGCAAACTATTTTGTTTACCCCCACATTTTAATCTCTTTACGCTAACTGGGTTCTCCTTATCTCCCTGCATTGATGGATAAAATCACTTGTTAATTACAGTAGGGAAATAGACAAAGAACCAGAGCAACATACTTTGTGATGATTGGTACAATATATCAAAATCATAATAAAGTTCTATCAGTATTGCCAACAATAAAATGTGATCATTAAGTTTATCTATACTTTACACCAGTTAAATATTGATATACTATCAACCGATGAAACAAAAAAATTAAACTAAATATAGTGATAAGTAACACTTGAACCTACCCAAGAAGATTGATTCATTGATCGCATAACCTTAATTTTACCACCTCTTCCATCAGCACCAACAGCAATTAAATTGCCACTATTTTTAGCTGAACCTTTTGCGTGCACTTTGCCTCGCTTGCACCATTTTCCTAAATGTCGTCTTGTTCCATCAGGACCTAGCAACCCCCCAGAGAAACAAATATTCCCTGGAGGTATTCAAATGTTCCAGAAAAAAGAAAAAAAAAGTAAGAATGACAAATATAAATTCTGTTAAGAAATGACAATATGGAAGGTAGGCCGATCGATGCACTTATCATAGTTTGGCTTAACCAATACATTAGAAGCCTACTTATAAAACTTAAATTGACATGATAACATACCTTGTTCAGAAAGTTGGTGTGAAGGAGTTGCAGTTTTAATGTTGAATATGGGCTTTAGGAAAGCAGCAACTGTTGTACTATCATCAATATTTGAACAAGTTCTTGACCCTGAAAACTCAAACACTGTTGCTTCTTGCACATCAATATCAGACACTGCCTTCGACATTGGTGTTGCAGAATCTCGGGTAATATTCTCACGATTTTGACATTTCAAATCAGGACTTGAATGAATGTATACATCCTCAGCCATGTTTCTCTCTTCATTGGGAGCCACAGTACTTGAACATCCTTCTCTACCATAATTGGAAGCCTTAGGACTATCAAGAGGGATGGCTTTTTTAGTTAAACTAGGTAAATGTTTGGGAGATATTGCACTCACATCCAAGTTATTTGAAGGTGAAACAGGTCGTTGCATCAGCCGTTCTTTTGAAGAATTTTTGGCATTTGAAGAATCGGAATTTCCATCCACGATCAAAACAACCCTTCACTATAAGTCTTAGAAGCTTTGCGAGTCTTCAAGACTTCATTATCTTTCACTTCAATCAGTGTATCCAGTTCCTGGACTATTTTCTGATGAAAACATAAAACAGAACTTTTCAGTAATATGACACAAGTAATGGAACAAGATATTCATAATGAGTCATGGCAGACTCACTTTCAATTTGTCTATCTTTGCTTTCGCTTTATCAAGTTTCTTCTGCAAACGAGCTTCACCTCTACCAAGAAGATTGCACTTAGCCATCAATTCTTTATAACTCCTGTTGAAGTTCAAGAATTGTCAAAACTTAAAGTGCACAAGTAAATATGACGGATCTGTAATGAAAAATGAAATGGAAAAGATAATTACAGCATTTTGAGTCATTAATAATAATAAAAATTATGTCCAATATCACAACAAATCCAAAACATCAAGACAAACCAATCTTTTCTTTCTTCATTTATAATCTGTGCATTTGGAATTAGATATCACGAGAAAGATGAGTGGATATGCTATCATAATTCCCCATTTTCTTTTTGTTCCAACCACTAGCCTACTACCACCATCCAATGACCCAATACATATTTCAGTGTTTGAGATGGATAGGATATGATAGTGCTTTCCGCCACTACGAGTAGAAAATTAGAATCACCCTATAGTGAATGCATGCTCATAGGCTATAGCCAAGTGAGAATCAATGAATTGATGAACCTTATTAAACTTCCAAAATGTATCGATAAATCTTAGTAAGCAAATTAACCAAGCAAAAATTAACTGAAAATATAAAGTTCGTTAGAGAACACAGCTAGATTTATACAATATAGATTGAAAAAGATAAGCATATAGACTACTTCAGTGAAGGTAACCAACTTACTTTTTATGACAGGACAATGACCTAATAAGATTATCTACAACATCTTGGCTGCTCCCTTCATTACCTAGAGAGGCAAGCTTTAACATCTCATCTTGCTCCAGGTCCAAATCTGTCACTCTATCATAAACCGTAGAAACAAGTAAGCAGCAAACATCACTAATTAAAACATAAAATGAGAGAAAGATGTGAGGAGGGCTGTAGGATTATGGCAAAGGCACTCCATGGGGCTACAGGAGACAAGCCATGGTTTAGGAATGAAATTGTTTTGGGTTTAGTTAGTGTGTTTTGAGTTAACATGACTGTAATATTTCATAAACGGTTTGATTGGCATTTTTTGACATAACAGTAGCAAAACGATAAATGAACTTACAATTTTAGTACAGCAAGTTCCTTGGCTAGTGCCAAATTCCTCTGCTCCAGCCTTGAACATTCCAAATTTGATTTACTAAGCTCCTAGATTACAATCACCCAATCAAATTTATTCAAAGTCACTTAAATGTATCAGTAAAAGAAAATATTTTTCTCTCTAATGGTATACATGATAGTCACCTCTGATTTAGAACTGAACTTTTGTTGAATGGACGCCTTTTCTCTTAAGGCCTCATTTTTCAAGGCCGTTTCCCGCTTCATCTGCTCCTTGCAAAGACACAGCTAAAACACCAGAAGACACATCATTTGAAAATTTTGAAATTACAAAAATTGAAAATTTCACTTCTAAATCCATTTTAATTTATACAAGGGAACCAAAAATGTACCTCGTCGTTGATCTGATTGTGCTCCTTCTCTTGACGTTCCAAAGCTGAACTAAGTCCAGAAACTTTGACCAGCAACCTCTTCACTTCGATGCGTAATGACTCGGCATCTTTCTCGCGATCGATCAACTTTTGGGAACATAGCGATTGGGTTTGATCTCCAACGGATTGGAAATAAAGACGAGTCGCATTGTACCCAACACAAGTCTGCTTGCACACAGGACAATTGTACTTCTTCGTAGAACTCGAACAGTATTCAAACCACTGCTGCAAACTATACGGTTCCAAAAGAAGGGGTAAAACGATGTTTTAATATAAATCGATTTGAATGTTAATGAGAAACGTGTGTATAAATACTAACCAAAGCTCGTGGAAGACATGGCCGCAAATGGAGATGGATTGGAGATCTTCGACGATGGGTTTCAGATCTTCGTAGCAGATAGAGCATATGGTTTTGGAAAAGGAGTCATCGCCGGTCATTTCTCCGGTTTCTCTCTCGAACTACTTGGCTGCTCTCCAAATTTTCATTTTAGATTCTCGCTCCTTTTCTATTTTTATCGGGGAGAATAATGGAGCGGAATTCGAAAAAAAAATCTGTAAAAGGGGCCACGAAGGAGGGAAATCAACTGAGCTCACGTGCGGCACGGGCACGTTTCTGATTAGGAAATAAAATCGAATAACCACCGGATTTTGAATCGAATCGGTAATGGTAACGATGAACTTAAACACGAAATTTTCAATTCGATTAATATTTTTCTAAACGCAATTTTCTGATCCGGTGTTTCGATTCGTCGATCTGAGTAAACTAGAACAACACCACATTAAGTGTTGTTACGAAAATAAAAAGAAATGTTGGTATGAAAAATAAAGAAGACGAACATTAGAGAATCATCAGGGCTAGGGTTTAGGAAAGGCAGCTACATTTTCTTTCACAGTAAATACTCTGATCGTTTTGCTCTTGAATACGACAAGATTAAAAGGGAGAAGAAAGGGATGTAAAAGAAATGTTCTCTTTTTTGACAAAAATTAAAATAATCTCTAAAATGGTTGGTTTGCGATTGGGCTTTGTTCTTCGCAAGATCCACACTTCTTATTAGCTGGGTTATCATGGGCCTTATGGATGAATAAAACATTTAATGGGCCCAATTCAATCTCTGGCATTCCAATCTCGATTATAAAAGCGAATATCCTTCGCTCTAAAGGATTCGAATTTGAGTGATTGTGGCACATATAATATTTTGTAATAGTCAAACACTATTAAAAATATGTTATTATCTTGTTAAAAAAATATATACATCCCAAAGACAATCCGATAAAATATATATTTAAATAATCTTATATTCTACCAATTAAATATCATAATATTACATTCATATTAAACAAACAAGATAATCTAATAATAATACGTCAAATAATATTACATTCTACATACCACCAAACGACTGATTATCATTTTAAGATAAATATAATTAATATTAAAAAAACAAATATTAATTGGTTTTAAATAAATGTAATGATACATCAAATAATATTATTTGACATTTGGTGGTACGTGGAATGTAATATACGTCAGATAAATGTAATTTATTTTTATGATTGTATTTTATTCTTAAATGTGATTATAAAAAAGTAAAAATGATTTAAAAATTAAAATTGTAGATCCATTAAATCAGATCAATACACATTAATAAGAACTAATATTGTTTGAAATGTAATGAAATATTTAACGAAATAATTTAAATTATTTAATACTGGTTAAAAACCAATATGATCAAAATATTGGACACGGACTACTCAAATAAATTAATATTGTTTGAAATATACTGAAATTTGTTAATAATAAAGGTTATAAAATATAATTTAATTAAAATTTTCTACCTAAATAAAAAAAAATTCACTTTGTTTTCTTTTCTTTTTTTTAATCCACGAGCTACTCACATGTAGATGGCGTTTGGTTCACGGAATGTAAGATTACATTTGAGAATAATATTACTGAAATGTAACATTACTATGAGAATATTGTATTACATTGTTTGGTTTGTTTAGCATGAATGTAATATTACATTGTTTGGTTGAAGGAATATAAAATTACTTGGATGCATATTTTACCAAATTATCGTTGTGATCTATTTTTTAAAAGTTAAACTTTAATATTAATTTATAAATATTTGAATTAAAATTCATAAAAATATTTTAAATGTTATACTATCTAACTTTTGAGGAGAAATTATATTTAATATATAATTAATATAATTAGTATATTAAATTTATATTTTTAAATAATGTTCATAAGTATCATATTTATTTATATAAAATATAAAATAATATAAAAATAATATTATGGTAATAAAATATTATTTTAAATAATTACATTTTTACAATAATATTTTTTTCATCCCATAAAATTATAAATAATAAAATATTGAATATTAAAAATATAAAATATTTTTAAATTCTCAAAATTATTAATATTTTAGTGAATCAAACTCTTTTTATATTATTATTATTTTTATAATTTTGATTAAAGTATAAAAAAATAAGAATTTAGAATGATCATTATAAAAAGAATTCATTAGTCTAAGAGTATTTTTGTTCAAAACGGTGGAAATGTTGGAGGTAATGCAATTCCTACCATTTTAACTAAAAAATACTACTATTGGAAAAAGAATATTTTCGGTAATATAAGATTATATGAACCAAATATGAGAATATAATTTTAAAAAAATATTTCCGTTGATAATATAAAATTCTGTGAACTAAACGCACCATAAGATAACAACATAACGGAATACAACAGTGAAGAGAGGACTGACCGTTTTGGATTTTTCAAAAAAAAAAAATCAGAAGTGGTTTTCCTGTAGTTTTAAAAAGGAAAAGGACAAGACAATTACTTTGAGATTCCCAATTTCGCCTACCATCCGTCTCTCTCATCTCCTCCGCATCTGACTATAGGAAGTATTGTAATTTAATGTTAAAAACGGTAGAGAATATGGTTCAACTGAAAATATTGTAAAAATATAATATTTTTAGTTTTTAATTAAAAATATTACAAAGAATTTAAAATAAAAATATTGACATCTTAAATTGTTCAAACAAAATTATTATATTTTTATATCATTTTCAATTAGACACCTCTCTTATTGTTTATTAATCTTATATTATAATGTCATGACAAAATCAGTTCAATAATATTGACACAATAATTATTCTAAATAATTAATTAGTAATTTATAGTATTTATTACAGTAATTTAGAACTCATCACATTAATAAGACAACTCTAATGAAAAATATTTCTTTATAACTTGTTATCTCGATATGACAATTTTAATAAAGAAATTATATTTTCTCGGAACTTCTAATTTTCACAAGAAAATTTTGAATAATTTTTTTTTTAAAATTTATCATGCTAACATGACGAATTCACCTTTCACTGTATATAATAAATTTGGTAGATTTCAAAATAAACTTTAAAGTTGTCCTATTAGAATAAATGATTTATCTCGTTGATTATGATTAATTATTACGTCATTACATTCCCTTAATTATTAATATAAAGTATATAATTTCAAAACACTCCGACACAATCTACATTAGAAAGTCAGCGCCTTGTTTTGTCTTCTTCTTCCTCTCTGTTTTTTCCCCAGTTTCTCGGGAGAGGAATCAACTGAGCTGCGGATTCAGGAACAGAGAGAAAACGAGACTCGTCTCATGGATGTTGATTGGGATTTGCATGCGGTAGTCAGAGGCTGCGCCGCCGTCGAGACAACCAGCACCGTTGGTTCTGCAACCGGTTATTTTAAGGCGGATATGTGCCCTCGGTCTTGTTTTTCTTCGTTTGGCGATCAAGAAGCTTTTCAGGGTCATGCTTTGTCTACTCCAAACCAGTTCGAAGCTAGAAATTCCATGGAAGATTTGCATGAACTGTACAAGTCTTTCTTACCCAAATCTCAGCCGCTTTCACCACAAATCACGCCTTTATATTTGCTTTCTTCAATCGACTCGTCCAAAGAACAACAACAACCAAAGCAGTCTTAACTCTGGCTCTGTTACTTGCGCTATTACTGCAGCCAGTAACAATTCTGCAACTGCCAATTATCAGAATTCTCGATCTAAAAGAAGGTAAATTAAAAATTATCGATTAGATAATTTCGGGAACCCATCTCGGAAAATTTCCCAGTATCCGCCCAATTTTATCGAAGTTGTTTGAATTGCATTATAAACTAAAAAAACAGCTAAAAAAGGTTCGCCAAGTCCCTGCAGAAGGGCTCTCTTCAGATGTGTGGGCATGGAGAAATATGGTCAGAAACCCATCAAAGGCTCTCCATATCGAAGGTAAACTCTTTTACAAAGGGGGACAAAATCATGTCAATTTGTCTGTTTTCATGTTGGATTTGTAAAAAGTTTTTTTTATTGGATATTTTGATTAGAGCTTCGATTGTTTGTTTCTTCAATGAATAACAGGGGCTATTACAAATGCAGCACTTCAAAGGGATGTTTGGCCAGAAAACAAGTGGAACGAAACAAATCCGATCCATCCATGTTCATAGTCACATACACAGCTGATCATAACCATCCTGCTCCTACGCACCGCAATACACTCACCGGCAGCATTCGTCAGAAGCCTTTGGATCCACAAACCGTCAACGACGGTGATTCCATCAAACCGTCATCAGCCAAACCCACCAGCAGCTCATCTCCGACGACCTCCGTGGATGAAGACCCTGTGGATCAAAGTAGCACAAAGGTGGAGAGCAGAGAGGATTTGGTAGACGCAATCCAATGATCATGCTCCCTAAAATTTTCATGATTAAAACGACACTAGATACCCTAAAATGACAACTTACTTACTGTTATTAGGGGTGATCAGTATGTAATCGAGAGATCCTTGAAAAAAAAAGAGAATTTGATACATAGAGACAATTTAATAAAGTTAAAAGAAGCAAGCCAAGGCATACAATGCGAGCTGACCTCAAACATAACCTTTTGACGAAGGAGAAAGGGCATGTTGTGGATTGGTATTATTTTTTATTCACTCCTCAGCATGTGCACGTCTCTAGGTCTCCAACAATGCTGGGCTGGATTCAATTTCCGCTGCGGCCTCGTGCGTTTCCTTGAAGTTCCTTTCCTTGTAATATTTACGTCTCGTGAATCTTCTTGATTTGAACTATGAAGAATTAAAGATTCCCAAATTCCCAATGGCAGGCTGTCGTTACCCAGTGGTAACATATTCATCGGAAATTAGAACCAGGTAGATATATCCACACTACCGACTAATAAATTCATCTGTTGCTCCCATAATTTTTCATGGTCATAATGCAGGAGATAAGACTTCTTCTCTTCTTAATTCTTACTGTTTCCTTGTTTTATAAATGTTACCTTAATTTCTTAGATGTTTGCTGAGGTCCCACGACAGCAGCCAGATTTAGGGCAGTAGCCGCCTTTCATATCAGCCATCACGTAGATGTGTATTCCGCCAAATTTATAATGATAATTAAGAGCGTAGGCAGCTGGCTTGTTGAGAGTTTACAGTCGTCCCACTAGTATAGCAAAATTTGAGCATTTAAATTAATCAATTCCTTTTAACCAGGGGTGTTTGGATGGGGGAATGTGGGATTCTCATAGGAATAGAATTCACATTCCCCTATTTGGTTAGCTCGGGAATCTCATTCTCGGTAATGTAAGATTACCAATAGTGGATTTTTTTGAGTATATTACCGGGAATGTCATTACCTCCATTTCCTTAGGTATTGTTGGATTCCCGGCGTTTTGGACTAAAATACCCTTAATTTTTTTAAAATATCATTTTTCTGTCATTGACTAATAAAAATTCAACGAATGTTAAATTATAAATTTATCCTTAAACTATTTTAGATTTACAAAAAAAAATCTATAATTACAATTTTATATAAA